TATTCCATCTAAATTACCATTAACTGGCTGTTTTTAATAAACCCTGTGTTTTCCTAAAACCATTAAAATTTTTTATTTCTTTTGTTTTTTTTTTTTCAGAAAGAATACTTTTGTCTGTCAGTATTGCTACAAATATAATTTCACCAAACTTTGTTTTATACCTTTCTCAAATGGTTAAGAATGACACACTGCTAGAGTTTCCGTGATTGTGATTAGTTTTAAAATGTATACTGTATGTAACGTTGACATTTTTTCATTTGATTATTATGTAGAGCCCTTGCCTATATTCTTGCTGAACTATTGTCCTACTTTTTACTTATTCTTTACTTAGTGGAGGATTAAGCCTTTGATAATGTAAATTAAGACAGCATCATCTCAAACATTAAAGACAGAAAAAAGAAGGAATGAAGAGGAGAGGGGTGAAGGAGGGAGAAGGAAAGGGGAAAAAAAGAGGAAAGGAGTGAAAGAGAGGAAGGAATGGAAGTGTCACTGTAGTCTCAGAATTGTATCCATGAGCTACATTAAATCTGTTCCCTTTATATTAAAATATTCATTGTTGCTTGATCCAAGCAGCCATATGTCCATAGTGTAAGTAAAGCATACCCACAGTGCATGTTTAAGCTAATGAAATGAGTGTTGAATAGCTCATTTGTGTTTTCAGAGTGAAAAAAGAGTAGCACCATCTGACTTCGGAAATTAAACATTTGCTTCTAGCAAACTTTATTTTATTGAGGCTAATATTAGTGAGAGGCTCCTAGAAGAGTTAAAACAAAATCATTTAACAATCAGAAAACTATGTGTTTTGCTTAAAAATCCTCACATTATATCACAGGGAGTGAAAAATAGGTCTTCACATGGTTTTATGTTTTCATTTTTTCCAAAATCTACATGGAAAGATGACTGGAGCAATTGTATGATTGTAGAGATGGTAATATCAAGTTCAAAGTATTGGTAGAGAAAACAGATTATTACAGTATTGCATACTTGTTTGATATGTGATAAAAACATTTTAAGATGTTATTTATTGATTTTCACTTTATTTGAAAGGAAGAGAGACAGATGAGAGAAAGATGGAGAGAAAGCTTCTAATGACTGGTTCAGTTCACATTTGCCTGAACAACTAGGGTTGGCCTGGCTTAAGCCAAAAGGCCAGAACTCAATCTGAATCTCCTGCATGGGTGGCAGGAACCTGAGTACTTGAGCCACCATGTGCTATCCCCCAGGGTACTCAATAGCAGGAAACTGGATCAGAAATGAAGTATTTAGGAATAGGAAGAGACTCTCCAGTATGGAATGCTGGCATTCCAAGCAGTGACTTACCTGCTGTGCCAAATGCCCATCCAGAGAGAAAACCATTTTTAAAGGGGAGGACTATGAAAAAATGTTGTAAACAACACATCACTGAGGTTTAGAAAGCCTATCTCTTTGTATTTAACTATGTATTTAGAGTTAATAGAGGATGACAAAGAGGTTGGAAGCCACACTGTCCTGTTCTTTGTTTTTTAAAAAATATTTTTAAATTTTTATTTTAAAAGCAGGGATTGGGGATGGGGAGGAGAGAGAGAAATCTATCTTCTGTCTGCTGAATGGCTCCCCAAATGGCTGCAATGGCCTGGGGCTAGGCTAGGTCAAAGCCAGGAGCCTGAAACTGCATTCCAGCCTCCCATGTGGGTGGCAGGGGCCCAAGAACTTGGGACATCTTCTGCTGCTTTTCCAAGTAGATTAGTATGCAGCTGGGTTGGGAATTGAAACTGTGGTCTTAAGGGATTCTAGCATTGCAATGCTCTGTGCCTCAACAGGGGCTCCTATTCTGTTCTTTAGAATTGTAGTTTTGTGAATAATTTTCTGTTCACCCAAGAACCTGAAGGAAATGTAATTAACTGGACATATTTTCTTAAGTATTCCCTCCTCTCTCAAAACTATTAATTGTGATGGTTAACTGATTTTGTTTGAATGTTCCCATATGCTTACATAGAAACATCACTTTTGGAGCTTTCCAAATATGAATAAAATCTAAATCGCCATATTACATTGCACATTTGCTTTTGTCTGGCTTTAACATATTGTATCCACTTACTTGTTGATTCATTCAATCACTAAATTCATTCAGTTCTTTTTATCTATGATGTGCCAGGATAGATATTTAGAATACAAAAAAGATAATATTTCAAGGGATCATTAAGACATATAAACAATGTAGGGACATCACAAACACACATAACAGTTATATTAAGTATCCACTATGTGGCAAATGCCATTACACTTAATGATAAGAGCATATGTAATTAATAAGATCACACTTAAAATGCATTTGAAAGATGAGTAGAATGTGGGCAGAGGAATTACTATTGTGTAGTCTCAAACAAGATATGTTGATAGCTTGAGAAAGCAGGGCTAAACATTGGCAATAGACTTACAATCATGACGTAGAGCAGATGGTACTTAGTATACATTTGGATGTACAGGATTAAGAAGAATAGGAAATCAAAAGAAAGCATTGGGATTTTTTTCAAGGGTGACTGAGCATCAGGATAGAACATTACTATGATTTGATTACAGTTTGTCTTCTCTGAAACTCATGTTTATTTTTTTTTACCAGTATGAGATAATAAGAGGAACCTTTAATAGGTGATGAGGGCTTTGCTTTCATGAATGGATTATTCTCTTCCTGCGATTAATCAATGAATGGATTACTGGAATAATGGAAGGTTTAGCTCATCAGTGAGTCTAACATAAAGGTAGCTTGGCTAGGTCTTAAATGCTCAGTTTCTTACAACTTGTGCTGCCTCAGGCCTCTTCTAGTAAGGTCTTCACTGTGTACATTTCTGTGACCTTGAACCATAACTGTAAGCCAAAATCAAACTCTTTGTTTCTAACTTAGTCTGTGACTATTAGCAACATAAAGTGGACTAAGACAAACATAGTAGAAAATTTTTCTGAGTAGAAAAAAAATTTATGTTTATCTTTAGAGTTTGTGGTGTTATGAACTATTCAAGGGTAATGAATTTAATTTGAATAGCTACATACATTATCTGCCACTTTTTATTGGGCAGTGCACCAAACAATGGACAGAGAAGGTCACAGTTGATATTCCTGACAGGTATGGTGACTAACAAGGTGTCGATGATACATGTTAGCAGCTGGAGGAAACAGGAGGCTGGAAAAAAAAAAAAATTAGTGCCCATGTAAATCATCAACATTTCCCCTTATCAGTAACAGGGCAGGATTACAAGAAAAGGTCTGCCATCTATGCAGATAAAGATTTGGATATAGGGAATTAATCAATATTTATATGCCAGTTAAAATACTGAAATACTGTCTTTTTTTTTTTTTTTTTTTTTTTTTTACAGATTTAGAATCATTGTCCTAACACTCTGTTTTCATCCTGCATGTTTACCTGGGGCAAGTCTTTCTCAATATAGTAGTTAAGAATGTAGATTCTGCATTTTGGCAGTCTGAGTTCAAATCTCCTTTCTGTTGTTCGTTAGAAGAAAGATTCTGGGGAAGATTCTTGAATTCTCTCTCTAGTTCTACTAATTAATAACTCTAGCTTAATACTGGGCTGTTTTAAGATTTAAATAACATTGAACACTTAGAAAAGTGCCATAAACTTAGTGAAGAGTTAATAAATGCTAAAAATTAACATTAAAAATAAACTTGGGGCCGGCATCTCAATAGGCTAATCCTCTGCCTGCAGCGCCGGCACACCGGGTTCTAGTCCCAGTCAGGGTGCCAGATTCTGTCCTGGTTGCCCCTCTTCCAGGCCAGCTCTCTGCTATGGCCTGGGAGTGCAGTGGAGGATGGCCCGAGTGCTTGGGCCCTGCACCCGCATGGGAGACCAAGAGAAGCACCTGGTTCCTGGCTTCTGATCAGCGCAATGCGCCGGCCACAGTGGCCATTGGAGGGTGAACCAACGGCAAAAGGAAGACCTTTCTCTCTGTCTCTCTCTCACTGTCCACTCTGCCTGTCAAAATAAATAAATAAATAAATAAATTTTTAAAAAGTAAAAAAAAAAGTAAACTTGCAAAATAGGGCTTATTTTAAAACATTAAAAATATATCCAGAGGCAAGTTTCACCACTTGGGATGCCAGTGTTCCCTATCAGATTGACAGTTGAGGACCCAGCTATACCACTTCTAATCTGACTCCTTGCTAATGCAGCTGGGAAACAGCAGAAGACAGCTAAAGCACTTGAGTTCCTGCCACCCGGATGGGAGACTGAGATGGAGTTCCTGGCTCCTGACTTCACCCTAGCCCAGTCCTGGCTGTTGTGCCCCTTTGATGAGTGAACCTGGAGATGGAAGATTGTCTGTCTGTCTGTCTCTCTCTCTCCTTTCTCTCTCCTGGAGATGAAAGATTCTCTCCTTCTCTCCCTCTCCCCTCCCCACTTCTCTCGCCACTCGCCTTTCAAATTAATAAATAAACTGGATAACTTTTTTTAATCCATGACTTGGTTTTGCTAATAGATTAATTCCCATACTCATTCAGTGTTTTGTTATTTTAGGAAGAGTTTGCATATGATATGGTCAGTTTCTCTTATCTTTTTATTGTAGGAAGAACAACTTACCAAATAAAGTTTACAGTAGTATTATTTCTCTAAGAAAGAGTTAGTACTTTTAACTAAGTTTGCCTGTATTAAGAGCTTATCTGCTATCTTTGTTTAAATATCTTTATATCTTTAAATATCTTTTGCAACTGTTGTCCACACTGATCCTTTTATTTAAATATTGTTAGGTTTATATTGGATAGAATATATGGTTGGTTGCATGGGAAAAATAGACATTACTTAAAAGACAAAGATAATCTTTAAAACATTTCTATAAAATTGTTTTTAAATCCCTTACATGTGAGAAAATCCTGCCAAAATGTTTTATATACCTACATTTAAAATAGTTAAAAGTGTATTAGCCAAATATTAACTTAAAAATGCAGTTCTACATTTCTTAGAATCTATAAAAAGCCAAAAATGACAATCTTCTATTTCTTGTTAATTTTAATAGTGATTCCTGAATTTGTAACACAAGTGAATGTTGCCTTGGAAGCATTAAGCAAGAACTCCTTGAATGTGTTTGATGATAATCAATTTGTGGACATCTCAAAGAAGATCTATGATACAATTCATGATATCAGATGTTCAGTCATGATGATTCGGGTAAGTTAGCCTTACCTTCCAATGAGTTATTACAGGATTCTTTGGGGATGCTTTGAATGATTGGAAGAATTGTTTGATTTCCATTCTTTAATGTCAATGCTGAAATCTGTGGGAACTGCAGAAATTCATGTGTATCCCCAAAGTCAGATTTACCATCAAAAATAACACTTTCGTTTATGTATCTTGTGGCAATTTAAACAAATGAGTACATTTACCTGTGGTGTGTGCAGAAATGATAATTGTTGTTCTGTGCAGGTGTCATATAGCATGATCAGGAGCCAAACAAAATCCTTAAGGTGATTTGCTTTCTTTTCTTGAATAAATAGAAAAAATCCTTCTTACTGCTATAGTGGAATTGATAAGAACAACAACAAAATATTGAACTCTCATGGTTTGGAGTTGTCTTTTGGGGAAATACCCATAGATGCCACCTTCTCAAGAGTGTAAATACATCATTTGTTGCAGGAACATTGTATATACAGAGACCAGGATTATGCATTTTTGTAAAATATTAATATTTTCTAAGTTACTGAAAAATTTAAGTCTTCAGGAAATATGTGTGTACAGATGTACCTTAGGATTTGTTCGTTGGAAGACAGATCTTGAGAAATACTTTTCTTTGTGTTATCAGTAGTCCACTTAGGAAAAAGTGAGGCCAGGACAAGAAGGACGTCAATAAGGTATAATTATGAGTCACTGCAGGTGACTTGATCTGAGTGGATTCTGGGAACATCTATGAACTTGTCCCATAATTACCACACTAGAGTTTAACAGTTTATCTACCTGTTTATTCTTAGTTAAAGGATACCCTCGGAGGTACTAACTGAGACTCCTGCTCAGGAACAATCAAGCCTTTGTGATCTGAAATAAATACACACACATACATACATACATACATAAATAGGTGGCAACTCTGAGACAGGATGACAGGTTCTTACAGTAGGAAGATCCAGTAGGACTGGTGAATGTAATGTTTAAGTGAGAGTAAATTTCAGTTTTGAAAATCTCTGAACTTAGTGTGACTATAAAATGGAAATAAAAGTTCCAAGAAGATATCAGCAATGCATCAATAGTAACTGATAGGCCTGGGTATCATAGTTAGGCTACACAGAGCATTCTACAAAATTGCAATCATTTGTGGAATTTGTAAAGAAAAATAAAACAGACATTTGAGAGCACAATTGTACAAATGGATGCAATGGAAGATATTATAATAGAAAGGCTAAAGGGATCAAGATGCAAGTTAGCACCTAAGGTCTTGGGAAAACCAAAAATCAAATCATTTATACATATCAGAGAGAAAACTGTGTGTGTGTATATATATATATATATATATATATATAAAATCCCTGACTTACCAATGACTTAACTTAATTTTTTTTACTTTATGAAGGTATAAAACTGGTACACATTCAGTAGAAATTGTTCTTCAAATTTTGAATCTTATTCTTTTCCCTGACTAATGATATGATGTGTGGTACTCTCTTGTGATGTTGGTCAGAGGCAGGCAAAACTAAATTTTAGTCTTGTGTTTGATTGCTGTAAATCTTGAAATTCATTTTTGAGGCTTACAGGATATATAAATTTGTCAATTTTATTCCCTCATTTATTTTTCTTTGTTTTTTAAAGGTCATAGTAATATTAATTTTGTCTTAAGATCCTTGGGATTATGAATGAGTTTTTATAAAACAAGTATTTGCTAAGTATGTTCAAGATGCAGTGATTTGGAGTGAATGTATGTATTGATCTGCATAGGATAATCTTAGATTATACCCCCATTTACTCTTTATTTATTTGACAGATAGACTGTGAGAGAGAGAGATAGAGAGAAAGGTCTTCCTTCTGTTGGTTCACTCCCCAAATGGCCATGGCCACGGCCGGCGCTGCACTGATCCGAAGCCAGGAGCCAAGTGCTTCTTCCTGGTCTCCCATGCTGGTGTAGGGGCCTAAAGGCTTGGGCCATCCTCCACTGCCCTCCCAGGCCACAGCAGAGAGCTGGACTGCAAGAGGAGCAACCAGGACCAGAACCCGGCGCCCATAGGGGATGCCGGTGCCACAGGCAGAGAGGATCAACCTAGTGAGCCACAGTGCCGTCCCCTCCATTTACTCTTAAAAGTGTTGAATTTGTATTAGAAATTGTCATGCTCACTCTAGTTACTCTGGGTCATGACGCATTGTTTGAAGCTCCATGGTGTATTATCTCCAATCACTGGGCAGTTTTCTGTAGTGCTGGACGCTAATGATCATAGTTCCCTGTCAACCTGGTTTTCCAGCCCCAGGGAAAACTTTTCTATAGCCTGAATGCTGTCTCATATTAGCTTGTCCTCTTGCAGTCTTATAGTTCCTTTGTTGACTGCAGGAAATCTATCCAGGCACCATTTAAAATTTATTTAACATACAAAGGTTTTTAGACCTTTTCAATTCCCAGTGTTAAGCAGGTTTCCTAAATTCATCTTAGTCACTCTGCTGTTCATTCTCGCAGGCAGCTTGCCATGGAATCCAGTACAAATACGCTGTCCTTTTTGGAAACGATATGACTCCTTTATAGTATCAGAGCCAGTTTGTAAAGAAGCCAGCTACCAGGGGACTTCCTAAGGGAACTTAATAAAGGCCTGCAGCAAAATAACCTTAGCTTTATATGCAAATTTAAATCAAACTGCAGTAGGCAGAATTCTATAGTGGGGCTCCTACCTTTATCTCTGTTAATAAAGAAAAAAGTTAAAGGTAAAGAAACCCAAATTCCAGCTGGCACTGAGCAGCAAAAACTGAAGTCATACTCTCAGCACATGTAATGGCCTTCTCATGTGTATACCATTTGAAGAGACTTTTGAGTAAGGGAACAGAGATGGCCAAAGCAAGAAATAATATTCATTGTCCAACATTGGTTAAGCTACAGAATTGTCCTAGTCAGTGATCTTTTCTTTTTTTCAAAGCCTTATTTTTAATTTGAAAGTCAGAGTTAACAGAGAGGGAGGGAGAGACAGAGAGAATCTTCCATTTGCTGGTTCATGCCCCAGATGGCCACAAAGGCAGGGCTTAGCCAGACTTAAACCAGGAGCCCAGAGCATCTTTCAAGTCTCCCAGGTGTGAGCAGGGCCCAAGCACCTGAGCCACATTCTGCTACTTTCCCAGGTGCATTAGCAGGGAGCTGGACACAAATGGAGCAGGCAGGACACAAATGAGCATCCACGTGGAATGCTGGCTTCACAGTCTGAGGCTTTACCTGCTACACCACAATGTCGGCCCCCACTGTATTATTCTTATAAAGAAAATTTAAATGCTTCAAAGAATAAATGCACTTATTCTCATTGGACATAAAATAACATATACATGTAATAAAATATCACATGGTAGCCCATACATATGTATAATTTATATGTGTCTACTAATTTGTTGAAAGAAAATTTCTAAAATGCCAATAAAAGTTAAAAAAAATAGTCTGAGGCCAGCATTGTGCAGTAGGTTAAGCCACCACCTGTGACATAGGCATCCCGCATAGAATACCAGTTTGAGTCCTAGCTGTTGTGCTTCTGATTCAGCTCCCTGTTTGGATGCCTGGGAAATCAGTAGAAGATGTACTGAGAACCCTGCACCCACGTGGAGTCATGCATGAAATTCCTGGCTCTTGACTTCTGCTGTCCCGGCTCCAGCCTTTGAAACCATTTGGGGAGTGAACCAGCAGACAGAAGAGCACTCCCTCTCTCTTTCTTTCCCCTCCTACCTCAAACAGAAAACAGTATTTGAAAAAAGAAATTTAAACTCCCTGGTTACATTTCAAAAGTAATTCATAGAGAGTTAAATAAATCATTCAGATAATGTACTCTGAAAAAATATAACTTAGGAAGTGGTAACTTTTTAAAATAGGCTTTAGAGTAGCAAAGAGAGGGAAAGAGATTGAAAATTTTATAGTTCTCATCTCTATAAAATAAAAGATGGAGTTTCAAAGGGAGAAATATTCTGGAGTCTGATAATAAAAGATCTGTAAGTGAATTGAGGTGCTGGAGGTCACACAGTGATAGGAGAAGTCACAGGACGAGACTTCGGGTCTTTAGACACCTGCTTCAGAACATTTTCTTTTACCACAGGATAAGGAAGCAGCTTAATGTTTTCACACCACGGGAGACTTTAGATTTCATTGACTACCCTTTGATGACGGACCAGTTATAAACACATAAACCCCAAGAGTCACTCGCTGGGCAATTTGTTGAAGAACACTTACTCCACAACTCCCTGCTCCCTTTGATTCAAACACATTGGCCTGCTGGCTTTTCCTGCAATTTTCCACACCCACCCATGTTTCTGGCATCTTTCTACTTCCTGTTTTCTCTGACTGCAATGCGTTCTTCCAGGAAACCACATGTGAGTCCTCTTTGTGTTCACTGCAACATTACTTGTACAACATCCTGCACAGATCCTATAGAGTTATGTATAAAATGGCATTTCTCAACTCAGCCATGCTCCGTCTTCTTAGTCCGGTTTATGCATACATAGTATCTGCCAAGGCTTTTGACATGTTATGGACTATTGCTGTATGTATCTTTCTCCCCATACAAGAATGTGAGCTCTCTGAAGGAAGGAATTCTTAGCCCTTTAAAACAAAATCAGATGTCAGGATATTTTATATTAAATATTAAGTGGTTAATTTGGTTTCCAAATTTGACATTTGTTTGAAATGTCATGATTGGATTCCAAGGGATATAGGGTGAGAGCAAAAGTGATGTTACTTTTTCATATTTTATGTTGCGAAATGAGGTACAACAGGAAACTGGTTTGATTAGCACTTTCATCAAGATTTCAAATTCACTTGATCTTTAATTTAAGACGATTTTAAGAGTACCACAAATTCCTACTAAGTATTTTATGTCATGGCCACTAATGTAATCATGGATGAACAGTACATGTGAATATTGAAGCTTTTAGTCTTCATGCAAGTTTCAATAAAATTAGTTGTGCGTGCTTGTTTTAAAAGTCCTTCATTTCATCTGTGTTATATATTAATG